ATATCTCTGTTATGGGTGTCGGGAGTCTTTGAATCATCCTTTAAATAACATTATAAAAAGGAATAAACTTAAATTCCTTTTTAGACGAATTCATATAGATCATTTCAAACCTTTTCGTTGCTTTTTACTTATTGTTTTATACTCAATAGTTATTGATCTGAATCCATATGTTGTTTTTTTTTTATTTTGAGGTTTAACAACGACAAATACAAAGCGGTAGCACAAAACCAAAATGTTTGTATAACAGTACATATGAAGTACACAAGGATTACCAAACAAAACAAAATGAACAAAAATGACCCTAACCCAATACACAACACAAATTATAAGTATATTACGAATAAATTCAAACATTAAGATAAATTAAAAATATACTCTGATAACTTACGTATTTGCTTTGCCTTTTGTAGTGACAATTATACTCTCACAGCTGATAGTTCGGTAGCGAAGTGAAAGTATCTAGAATCGCACCTTAATATATAACATTGAAACAGCGGGAACAGGAAACGAAAAGTACGTCTGCGAGGTTGGTATCTATTAAGTTATATTTCATATGCTCCATCACTTACAATCGATGGTGGTTAATGTCAGCTGTACTTTTCTTTTGTTGAAATTAAGACGGTGATATTTAGGAAAACTAGAAAATACCGTAAGCATGCCAAATTTAGGCCTTACAATTAAAAACAAATGTGATTTTTGTTTTAATGAACCGATATTGATTATGAATTATGCACCAGTGTAGAGCTTTGCTAGGGGTGCGGTGTCTTTGTTTGTACTATTGTCTTTGTGAATAAGTACTGGTATCTAAAAAGTAGCATATATATTTGTGAGTTTGCTGACGATCATAATGTCATTTACAACACTAAAAAGTCAGTATGTATGCTTGTTTGTCCAATAATACGTAAATTGCAAGGTCAACCACTCACACCTTTTAAATAATGTTTACTTATTTATTGTGATAATGTTATTTATCTTTGGCATATACGTTTAATCATGGACCTATTAATAATTATTAATTTTTAATAGGTCCATTTTTTTGTGATATGTATGTATATAATTTTCACTTGCTTATTTTAACTCGCTACGCTTGTGCTACAATATGCATTCGGTTATTTTTAAACAAGCTAGACACTGCAGTGCTAGTTTGATGTATTTTTTAAAAATATATTTGTAGATATATAATCCGGAAAGAAATGAAAATGAACAGATGGAAATTCATAATTCGATTTTTTTACTGTTGTAACCAATTATAAAT